AAAGCAGGAAAGAAAAAATTCCACAAAACCAAACATGGCCTTTCAGTTTGCACATTTAATTTCTGATAGAACAGAGCAAATGGTTGTATTGCAACACGGGAAAGACTGGTAAGATAAACACACTGCCTGTTCATCTTACCTCCCTGCTTTGGGGTTAGCTTTAGGAGCTCTGGCAACGCACCCCAGAGTAATTTAAGAGGTAACTCTATAACTTGGTGCGTGTCCTGCTTCTCTGCCCAAATTTATCATCCTGGAAGGCAGGGGTGGGGGAATGGCCACTTCTCAACTGTTGCACTTCACAGTCTTGTGTGGTTATTTGTCTGTGGTTGTTTGTGTGCATTAACATGCTGAGCTCCGAGAGGCAGGAGCTGAGTACCTGTGGTTTGCTGCCTCTGCTTTGTAAATAGTTCCTTTTAGCAGAGGATAAATGAAGTTTAGCCATTTGTGTCCCTGATGACAAGCAATCACCAAAAGCCCTATGTACTGCAGAACAAAGCGCTGCCATTTAGCAGCGTGAGTTGGTTTGGTTTTGGTTTCTTTTTTTTTTTTATTTTTAGCAAAGATGATATCAATAAAGCAAAAGTTGGTGCCCAGCAGATTAGTGGGTGTTTAGCAGAAAATTTTGTAGAAAGTGGGCAAGATGACAGAAAAGGGTGTGATGAAATGAGTTCATCATTTGTACCTGTGAGTGTGGGATGGACTGTGGGGGAAGAGGAGGGGGTGAAACTGTAATGAGGAACCTGCCAAGTAGCTGTCTGGTTTTGAGAGTTTTTGGTGTCCCAAGGAAAAGCCCCAGAACGTGGTTTGAAAACAGTCCTTGCAGGGCTGTTAGTGCAATAGGAGAGATGCTCCTTTTGAGTGTTAAACTTGGCCTGTGAATAATGGAATTTTTCACACTTGCTCTATTGGCATGTGGGATAAATCACTCCACCTCTGCACTTCAGTCTCCCTACTGATAAGAGGTTGATGAGAACAGCCTTTCAAAACATGATGACTGGAAGGATTCTGGGAAATGTGACTCAGAGCAAGTCTTGGTTAGACCAATGTGTTTGAAGGGACAAGAGATACTCCAGACTTCACTCAGTGGATTGAGAGCCACTCACTCATGAAAATTAAGAGCCTACCTGTCCTCATGTCACAGGTATACTAAGAGTATTTCTCTTAATATGGATGCTGTCTTTCCATCTTTGTAATCATGACTAAGGGAGGAGAGAGCCATGCACCTGATGATAAACAAGTCTACCCTGATTGTTCTGCTCCTTAAAATTTCTGGAACTTCTACATCTCAAAATTTCATAAAATCTCGAATCAAAACTCAGAATTTATTTTCACTGAGGTGTTCTCAAGGTCAGATTTTCCATGCAAAGCAGAATCTAAACAGACAATATGCTTTGCATAAACTTGGAAAATCCAAGGTGAATTCTGCAGGAATTTTGTTCTAACACTGTCCTTTTTCTAGGCTTGAAAAATAATAGCTAACCCTTTGGAGTTTTTAACCCATGAAACAGAGACCTCTATTCCACTTAGAGTGTGGAAGGTAGCTACAAATGTCACCAAGAAACCAGCAACACTCACTCAAAATACTGCCACTACTGCAGACAACAGAGGAAACCACTATAAAGCCAGTGTAACTCACTGGCTTCAGTACCCCGTGCATTCAAATCAAGATCATAAGGCAAACAAATTACTAACTTCTGGCTGCAAGTACTTAATCCGTGCACAGTGGCACAAGATTTAATGTGTCATCCTGACAACTATTTAATGCACAATCACCCACAGCCCTTTAGCAAACACCTTCAGGAGGCAAAAGGAGGGACAAGTCTAAACAGAGTTGGGAAGGCATTTGCCCACAGACTCTTACCTCTTCCTTCGCTAATGGCTCTTCGTTCTCTTCCCTCTGTTCTCAAGGACAGCATCAGATGAGGGCTGCTGGGGATGGGATTAGCCCTCCCTTCATCTCTGGAGAGGCCAGGGCCTTTCAGGACTGTGCATCTCCTGGACAGCCACACACACACATGCACTTGGGGTTTTAATCGCCCTACAGTCTCTCTGGCAGCTTGCTGTGACTCCTGTCCTTCCCTTTCTTCACCTGTTTTCTTATGCTTTTTATTCTGCAAGTCACCCTGACCCGCTTCCTTCAGTTCCTTTCCTAAACCCCACATTAAGTCTTGTCCAAATCCCAAATGCTCTGTCCCATGGAACTTTCCCTTCGTGCCCATCAGCTCCCATTCCCTGCTCGGGTGGTGTCACAGGGCTGATCTCTCCCGGGGCATCCCGTGGTGATGCAGGGCTCCATCAGTGCTGCCATGCTCCCTCGTGTGGTGATGAGCTTTTCCAGTAGCAGCAGCGCCAAGGGGGCCGGGAGGGTGTTGGGCTCTCCAGATGTGCAGCCACAGCACGCACAGCTGGGAAATGACTGTGGATTTACCAACCTAACACTGCGTGTATTAATTAGTCAACAGCACTGCATGGGTGTACAGGCTACACCAGATCTGCTCACATCTCCAAACTTCTTCAGGGTATAATCATACTGCTCTTTCTCTCTTCCCTCTTTTTCCCCTCAGGAACAAGTTGCCAAAAAAGATTCAATGAATTCCTGTGAACTGTGGTACTCGACTGTCAGCCACGATGTAAAACACGAAGTCTCTGTCATTGACAGCAATAATGAGACAGAATATGCACTTATCAGCGTGCCCAAGAGGAAGGCAAATGTCACCAGCCCTGAAGAGCATAGTGAATATGATGATGTCGTGGTAACTTAGAAGGCACTCTTTTACCTGAGTGTGTGCAGCCACCATAACTATCTCACCTCTACTGTCGGGTCTTCAAACAAATATCTCTCTCTCGTTACCAAGCTTACAATTAGGCTATGTCACTTACTATGAGACAAACCTGCCCATGAACAGCTGATCAGATAAACATGGACTGGGTACAGGACTTGACAACTAAACCAGGAGGAATCAGTAGCAACTGCCATCATAAGACAATGTTCCTCTATAGCAAATTAGGAGCTACAATTTTTTTTCTGGACTGTAAGAGTACTTCTTTTTTAAAAGGGGCCTTAAAGAACTACTGACATAAATCTCAAAAATGTAATAATAGCAGGGTATTTCTGTTTGTTTGGGGAATGTTTCATGTTTTAAATGAAAGCATAAACCTTGTGTTAGATGCACTTAATCTTGTGAAAAATTTCTCTGACATGCTTGATTTGTACCATTATACAATGTAAAATTTTTATAAAGAACTCATTTCTCAAATTTCCCCCTCCCCCGTCTAATGTAGTACTACTAATTGTGAAGTCTTAAAGCTGGAATTAAATAAAAAGCTCCAAACCAATAAACTGCATGCAAAACAAATATTATGCCCATGAGAAAACGCTCAATACTGATGCTGCCCAGGTGGTAACTACCTCTCAGCAGCAGAAGTCCAGGTGCTGTTCCCATGACACAATGCTTCCACAGCTGACTCCTCCTGGGGTCTCCAGTTTGGCTTTCTGCAATGCTAGAATATCACCTCCTCAGAGCCCAGCACCCGTTTGCAAGCAGAATTTCTGGACATGTGCAAGGGGCTGAAACTGCTTACCAGAGCACATTAGGTGATTATGTGCCTGTGCTCTTGCTTAAGCATGTCATTTTGCTCCTTCCATTTTTGTAACAAAACAGTATAGAAGAAAACGTTGAACAGCTTTTCTGATATTAAGTCTTCTCTAGTATGTGACTGCTGGCTGCAGCCCTGGCTTTGTGGTGCAGTGTCTTTGTGACTCCCACCTGGCATTTCCATGCTGGGGATAGTCCCATGGAGCAGTGGATGGACACACTGCCAGCATGTGCAGGTATCACTGTTGTGCCAGGCAGCTGAGTCTGCTCAAAACTCCTACTGGCTGCTGTGGCTACACAGATGACACCTGCCAAAGGATTTTGAAGGGTTGATTGTACACTCCACAAGCTGCTTTTTAACAATGTTTCAGTTGTCTCAGTCATTAAAGTATTATCCTCATTCCTTCTATTAAAAATTAATATTGATCATTCACACAAAATATCTAATATCATGTAATAATGTGTTTTCACACTGTGGTGTCCCTAATTGATTGGGCCATAATAAACTCCCTTTTAAATTTTATTTTACATGATCAATTTACCTCACAGATATGTAACTAGAAACCACTCTTTTTGACACTTCTTTCAATGAGAGCTCAAAACCCGAGTGGATGCAGTCTGTAAAGGCAGATATTTTCTGCTGAATATCACATCTTACTACAGCTGCACCTCTTTCTTTCCTGTGAGGTTCTGGGGTAAAGGTATGGATGTAGAAGAAGATAACTGGGAAAAAAAAAATTCTTGACTCCTTTCTCAACTCTTAATGCCCATATGGATATCACCATAAAGAAGTCTAACAATTCTTTTTCAGTTCCTAGAATCGAGATAAAGAAGTGTTCAGGGAAAGGATCAGGTGTCTTGGTGAGAGCAATAATATTGAGCAGGATCTCAACAGCAATTTATTTCTTTGCTGCTGGTACTTTCATAACCAGCTGCTTTTGGGACAAGCCATGCAAGCCATGAAGTTTATCCTTCCCCAGCATAAGAATCAAAAGGAATCTCTCTTCTAGCTGTATGCTGCATAGGCTATTTCAGAAAGAGAAATTATTGTTCTTACAGTAAATGCTACAAACAAAGAGGGAATCAGAATAAGTCACAAATATGAGAGTAATTCAAACTACTAATTTGGTCCAGAATGTTCCCCAAGCTCAGTTTAAACACATGCAACAACAACAGCTATGGGTTTGAGTGTACAGCTCTCTCAGACATGCTTCATATAGCTCAGCATTTAGAATTCCAATGGCTATTTTTCAACTCACACAGCTGAAAGACTAGAGCTGCTAAAGAATGAAAACAGTCACTTTAAGAATAAAAATAAATAATTTAATGCACAATAGCATTGTTAGATTATACCTTAAAAAAACTAGTAATATTAGAAAAACAATTTTCCATGACGTATTTCTTATAATACAAAACGCTTCTTAAAATAAAAGTGTCTATCCAAGAGTACGAACATTTATAAGGTTATAAATAAATGACAAGATATACTTCACTCACATGGTAGTGAATATATTCCATTCTGCATAAAGTTAATGCTCAATTTTGGTGTATAGCCAGTTATTTATTGTCTGTAACTTTAATGCCACACTGGTCTATGCCATTTGCTTCAGCACCTTCCTCTCAGCCCTGGCTCATCTCACCTGGTCTGTCATCAACAAGAACAACTATTTACTGCCTTATTAAGGCAAATACCTTACATCTGGTTTTTATCCCCAGTGCTGGGCAGGAACTATAATTAAGGGTATAGACTAGTCTTCAGATTTACAAAAACAGGTCAAGTATCTGTCTATTCACCAATAGCAGCAGCTAACTCTGCTAACTGTAAAAGTGCTAATTCTGCTAATTTGACTCTTTAAAGATTCCTGTGACATTCAGGTTCATTAGTGAGCAAGACATATCTCCTCATGCTGCTGCTTTCTTCTTTTGTATTCCACATTGAAGAAGAGAAAAGTAGAGCAAAGAGCACCTTATCCAAGGAGACTGTAGGAAGAATAAGGAAATTATGAGAGTTAAAGCATTCTTAAGAAGCTAGTGCAAAGGCCTTGCATGTAATTAAAGAATATGTATATATATATACACACATATATATATATTTAGGTTTTCAGGCTGTTTTACAAGGAAAGAGCGACAAGGAAATGTGGCATATGAATTTTGGAGGGAAAAAAATAACAGATATGAGTTTGAGTGGAAGTGTTGAGGATGAAGCTGTACAGGTAATTTCGCATAAGCCAAGAGAAAAAGAAAGGAGCCATGTGCAAGACTGCTTTTAAAGCTCTTGCAGAGGATTCAGATTTAATCATAATGCAAGACAAAGCAGAACTTTCAAAGTCAACAGAGCATGCATCAAATACATGATTTTCTCAAAGGTGAAATGGATTATTGAGACATAGAAGAAGGAGGTAGTGGTGTTACAGCAACACAACACTGTCATACCACATTTTCCATTTACAATATTGCATCACAGGCAGTATTTATAACACAACAATTTTAGAAGTGTTTCTACCTAATAAATAGTTCCCTGCCCTGGGATTAGTTATAGATAGGGAATCCCATCTCTTCTAGGTGGTGATGAAGATGAGGAATCTTTCCATAATTTCTCTGAAAGTTAAAAGAGTACAATATTAATATTAAAATAAACTTTAAATCTTTATTTCAATGTACTCTTTCCTGTCTCCTTTCATACTAGTTTTTCTAAGAATCCTGTTAATATATAAGGAATAAAATGCATCTAAAAATTGAAACTCATGACTTGCTGATCTCTTGTCCCTTGGTAAGAGTCCCAAGAAAAACCAATACGAGTCAACTGCAAACCTTACTTACCTACACTGCAACGCTGAATTGTTAACCTAGGACTATTCTAAAAGCACATAGGTGTGACTCAGTAAATCGGGACTGGGGGGAGGCAGCTCCATGCATTGTTTTCAGTATAACTTCAAACCTCATGGAACTTTTATATGGGCATTTCTATCAGGACAAATAAAAATGCATTGGAATTACTATCTAGTCACTGATAACCTTTGGAATCACTGCATAGAAAACACCTGGAAGAATGAACATTTAAAGGTATTTCTATGCATAATAAATTTTCCAAAAAACTACAGAAAGACAAATCAGGGGTCTTTTTTGTCTCTTGGATTAAAATTTGTTTTGTTAGCATTCAAAACCAAGTGTACAATAAGGAGAAATATTTTAAATTATTTGTGTCCCCATTATGGTGCACACATGTATGAGGAGAATTTTTTGTATAGTTAAAATGCAGTATTAGATCAGAAAAGTTTGGTCACTATACCCTTTCTCATCAGAGGACCAAACAGTGAGTCCCAGGTTTTATGTTAAGCATAACAAACCTTTCTGAATGCTATTTTAAAATGTTCTTAATACTGCTATGCAAATCATATATACTAATGAATCTCAATATCTTTATATATTTCCCTCCTTTCCCATAAATGCTTCTCCTCTTTGTAAAGAAACAGTTTCTCTAATGTAAAGCACTTACATGTGAGAGAAGTTGGGTCGAGTTTTAATCTGACACATTCAGATGTCCCAGGACTAAGAGTATCTTCATCATAAATATTTTGACGTAATATGTTCCTTATAAAATCTGGGTTCATGCTGTTTTCCATAAATCCCTCTGTTGATGGTGGTACAGAAAACACTAGCTGATAAATTACAGTGGAGCTTTCATTACTGAAAAGCAAAGTCAAGGATTAATGTCTTCAAGTTTCAACAGGATCTTTTTTTTTCTTTGAGAAGACTGGTTTTTCTTATCAATGTTGGAATGGATTAACAAAACCCCCACATTTTTCCAAGAGAAGTGTTATGAAAGAAAACTGCCAAAGATGCTAGTTTCCACCTCCCCCTCCCTTCTCAGAACAGTTCTTGAAACTGGGACATACTTGATACCAGCCAGAGACATGTTTTCAAATGCCTGAGGGGCAATTGGACACGTGTTCTGATGGGATGTGGTTTTCAGCACTGGTGCTTCGCAAGAAGCTACTGATAAGAGGTGTTGCAACATCCTGTGCATATTTTATCTAGGAACCTGTAGGAAGGCTTGTTTTCCTGCTAGCAGTACCTGGGACCACCCAGCTGGGCTCTTGACTCAGCTCTGGACTGGATTACACCAACCAGTGAACTGGAGACTTCATTTTTTGTGGTCTACCAAAACTGAATACGATTCAACAGCTACCTTTTGTACTTAGAAAATTCAAAACGTTTTCAAGAAACACTTGAATGGGGGAAAATGAAAGAAAGAGAGGGAGATAGCAAGAGAGAGACATCAAAAAGGCAGAGAGAGAGAAAGGGAGAGAGTTATTAGCTAATCAACATATGTGCAGTACTACAGCTTTGTACTTGATGGTCTAAGTGATAATTAGTGCCCATAAGGCTCAGGAGCTGCAGTTCACTGTTGAGCAAAGCTGGCATGCCCAAGGCTGGCAGGGCAAGGGAGCAAAGTGCCCTCATGACTGCCCCTTGCCACATTCCAACTTGGCTATTCCTCTGTCCTTGCTATCTCAAAGGACCTGGGACTTTACAAAACTACTTCCCTTGATTTTCTGCTGTCTTTCTAATTTCTTTTGTAAGAGTTCTTTTTCACAAGTCCTTGGGAAGCTCTCTGTCCTCCCTTGCCTCTGCTATTTCTCCATGACAGGAGACATGTATATTCCTCTTGCCTTTACCTCTTTTGGGAATAAAATGATTCTCTCCTCCCCATGAAACCTGCTTTATTTATTTAAGATTATTTAAAATACGTCAATCTTAAGTGTTTCCAGCAATCAATTTTCCTTTTTATAAATATCCTTGAATATGTTTATTAAGGGCTGCAATTGGAACCAAAGGTAACAGAGATGATACTTCACGGCAACAATATGTTGCTGTCATTATATAATTTTAGCAGCATTTAACATTTACACAAGAGGATCCTTTGACCAGTTTTCACTGCCTATACACCTAATTTTCCCCAAGCAACCTATTTTTCACAGATCTAAATATTGTACAATATTTACATAAGGTCATATATGTCTCATCAAAAGCCTGTAATTTTCAGATAGTTTTGGTGATAGGAATTGCTTACCTGAAAGAAATCACCTGAGCTGACCTAAAGTAACGTCCTAAAGCTGGAGATGAACTGTAGACCTCTGTGAGCTGAGAGAGAGAGAAAAAAATTTACTTTTCTTCTATTCAATCTCTTTTTTTCCCCCCTCACAAAAAAACCCAATAACAAAAAAACCCACAGCAAATCATTCCTACAAAGTACTTTAAGGAGCATAAAAACAGGTGCTGAAGGTCAAATAACAGCAAATATCTACCCTGGAAAAGGTAGAGAGTGATTTAAAATTGAGAGACAAGTTAATTGTGCATTTGAGTGATTGCTATACAACCTTAACACAATGGAGGCACTCAGGGTGAACTAAAAGTATGTGCTCATGTTGTCATGTGTGACTGATTTTGTTAGTTCGGGGATTTAATTAGTACCAAAAGGCTCTTCTAACTCTTATTTCATGGAGGAGAGGGTCTCTGTCCTGAGATGCCTTTCCACCATGTCCAAATGATCACTGCCATGTATGCTGAGCTTATTTCAGCTGTAACTCAGAGTTGTGCTGGCTCGGCAGAAATCACTGCTATAAACCCAGGCTGTAATCACACAGCACACGGGATGTTCAGCCCATAGTATGCTTAGATGACTCTCACAGGCCTCTCCTAAATTATTCAATGATTCTATGAAAATGTTGACGACTGTGTTTTAACAAATGGTCAAATTTAAGGGAAAAAAAAATTTTGTGCTTAAAAGCAGACAATTCTTTTTTTTTCCTAGATCGCGACTTTAAAAAGTACAACACATTTTATTTGTGGACTTGCAAATGACTGAGTTGCTATGCAGAGAAATAGAAATTTCTTAAAAGGCAAAACACTGAAACTGTGTTCTAAGCAGAATCAACTTTGCCAAGAATGACATAAATACTTACCCAGTTAGTAATGCTCTCCGAGGGGAAGTGTGGGAGACCACACATTAACTCCAATGTTCCTGAAAAATTGTGAAAATTTCCACTGCTTAGTAGTTCATCAGGATCCCAGTAGTCATCCTCATCTATGTAAATATCTAACAATCAAAAGGAGACAGAAAGGGGAGAAAAAAGTTTCAGTTAGCTGAAGTATTGAAAAAAAAATCCTCTTGGCTTTCTCCAGGATGGCTTTTTCACAAATTTCCTAGGTAAGGACTGACTGGGAACGACAGAAAGGAAGTGCAAATCACCTGAAAAAAGTGACAGCACATGGAAGTCAATCCCCACCTCCATTAGCAAAAGTCATCTGTTCTGGGAGCCTGACAGGCAGTGACACCACAGCACCTAAGTCATCCATGGCACTTGTTCCAACATTACAAACATAATTTCCATCCTCATGTCCAAATCTCTTCTTGAGATATTTTCTCACTTAGCTACAAACTTGAATTGCCACCTGATCAGGATACAAGTTACTTGCTGCCTGTTAAGATCAAAGCATTCACAACAACTTCTGAACTACACCACCACCCTCTGGAGTCAGTATCCCAGTTCCTTCAGAAGTTTACTGAAGGAGATAAAAGGACGTTATTGCTGCATTTGTGTTTTTGTATTAGTGTAACCAAGAGTGAGATACTTACTGGAATAAAGAACTAGGCTGATGAGAATGACCAGGAAGATCACTAGAAATATTGTAGTTATAACCATCCATAGTCTACACTTCCAGAAAACGACATTCCTGCATGATTTCCAGGGATTTCTCTCCTCCTATAAAAGAGAAGGGCATATTGAATAATCATATAAGGCAGGAAAAAAACATGGAAGCACGTCTCTACTGTTCCATTTAGAAACAAAACCCACATAGATGGGAGAGCCTCTTTGGCAAGCAGTGCCCTACATCCCTGGTTCCCAGCCTTGACTACTGCTGCAAGAGAAAATGCAGATCTAGAGAAGGCAAAGGGCATTCACTTGAGAAGAAACATTCTCCTTTGTGCAGAATGTCCAACTTCTGAATGGCCTGTAAAGCTAAAGTATTGCAGAGGTCATTTCTTGGCTCCATGGTTTTTTAAATTATATTAATTAAATTTGCATATTCCACAAGCGCTCCTTTTAATGTTTGTCATCTCTCCCAGTTAAAAAGGTGTCTCTGGAGGTATTTCCAAATCATTCACCTTTGCAGAATTGATGATGTCAACCTGCATAGCTTCTGGGTGCCAGCACACAAAGCAAAGGTAATTGCTGTTTAATAGATACTATTGCATTAGACCCTCCATAAAATAATTGAGACTTTTATAGCTGACTTACTTTTTCTTTAGAAGATTGGAAACTTGAAGGCTATTGAGTGTATTTAACAGAGAGTTTAATGCAAACCTCACCTGTTCTATGAGGCCAAAAGAAAACTTCATTCAAAGCAATTGTGCATGTATATACATTCATGTGGGAGAGAAAGAACAATATCTTGCCCATTATTTAATTTTTAATAAGACAGAAATTAGTCTTTTAATGAGTTAATCCAGCAGGATGAATATTAAAAAGAAAAAAATAAAGAACAAGCTTAAGTGACAGCAAAACAGATAACTTAATTTGTTTTGTTCCACAGCCAGAAGAATCAGAAAACTGAAGCAAGGGCTTGAATCCATAAACAGACCATGCTGTCCTTTTAATTACTCCTCTCCATCCACCATAAAGGTAGTAGAAAATTCCACGTCCTTTGTGACAACAGTACCAGATAAGGAAAAGCACATGCTGTAGGTTGTCTGGACCACACACGTGCAGATTGGCATGAACCAGCTTCTGCTGGAGGCACTAATCCAAGTTTCCTTCCTTTACTTTTACTTTTTCTTCTTTCTAAGAACACAGAATAACAGGGAGGCTTTCACTGCATTTAACTGAATCAGGCAGCTGGCTAAAAGCTTTTGTGTGGGTGGTAGGGGAACAGGGAGAGAAAACAGACACACGGAGAAAGCTCTTACAAGAGAGATTCCTCCAGGAGCAGAGGCAGAAAAAGGGAAACACTGTAGACACCTCTGCACACAGAACTTTGCTTTGCTGGAGAATGAAAGGCAAACACCGAGAATGGTTTTGTTTACAGCAGCTTTCGGCTGTGATCACATTTGCTTTCTAAAAATTGATTTAAAAAATATTTTAGAAGTATGAATTTCAATTTAATACTCGACACTAGCACATCACTCTGTATTTTAAAAATTTTTAAAAGCCAGTAACTTCCTGCCTAGAGTGCAACTATGAAATCATCCATAGCCTCACCAGTTGAGACAGGCAGCCGGGAGGCCCAAGTTTTGATTGAGCCGCATGCTTAGACTGTCACAAAACGCAATTCTTTATCACACAAGAAAATGTTTAGCTCCACAACCAGTCCCACACCTTCTGAACTTTGCCCCTAGGCCAGGGGAAGCAACAGCAGCCGAGAAAGTCTCTCCCTGGTGGGCAGGGCAGCTGTGATTAGATTAACCTGCCGCCTGAGCAGAGAGCAGAGTTTGGCAACTTCCCAGCAGTCCTATAGGATGGGCAGCCAGGTGCTAGGATCAGCATAGAGAAGGTTCAAATGGAAACTCAGCTCTGGAAAGGATAAACCCGAGGGTGAAGTTTCTCGAGATAGTCAAGCAGATTTAGCCGACCCCTGCCTCTCCTGCTCCTCTTCGCACCTCCTGGAACGAGCGTGACCTGCAGTGAGCTGATTCACCTCGCCGCACCACGGGAGAAGTCGCTGACCCCCGACCGGACAGAACAAAGGGGGGTTTTGCCTCTCCAGCAGAGTGGATCTGCACTAATATTCCTGCAGGAAGCCGTGCAATCCACCGTACAGCACTCACGTGTGAGTGTGTCATTGCTGTGAGTTAATCTGTTCTGTAGATTTAAACTAGGGACTAGGAGCTACCTCCCTTAGGATTCACGTGCTGATCTTAACTGAGGTTCTGGAGCATTCTATTAATACAAATTCATAATGGCTAGCAACTGAAAGTTACTCAGAGATAAAGAGAATCCAGCGTGCCTTGTTCGAGGACATCTTATTTTTTTTGGCAGCACTGTTTACTGGTTAACATCTACTGAAGGAAAGCCTGGTTTTAAAACTTATTTCAACTTTTCTCTTTTTTAGTTTTCAGCCCAATCCAACTGATAGCACACGAAAAGAGAAAGCAAAACTCAGAAAACCGATTACACTTTCATTTCCTAAATGATCCCACTCCCATATTAGAACACTTCATTGATAAAAAAGGAAAGAAATACATTTAACTGGTTTTTAGCCACTTCACCTCAAACAACGAATTAAATCACCCCTACAAAATTTTCCTTCAAGTGTCATTTCTCTGGATGAGTAGTATTCCCCCCCACCGGAAGGATTAAATGAGCAAGTGAAATTCCTACCATTCTCGTTTGATCATTTAGAGGCTGCTGGTGATCAGTCGTGCTTTCCTCCACATTACTTCCCGGTAATTCAATAGCCTCCTGCTGCTGATCAGAGTTCATTGCTTCTGTCTCTGAAGGAGGGTCTCTGTGAGAACTTCTGTCTCTGAAGTGAGAACAGAGCCAACTCATTTCCTTCTTGTTTCAGCCGCGGTTATGGTCCGTGATAGCTCTGATAGCTGGAAACAGGGAGAGGGAAGATAGTTGTTACAGGAGGACTCTCAAAATACTGTTAAATTAGGGGAATTCCTTGGAAGAACAAATAAGGTCGGCCGTCCTTGCTGCAGAGGAAGGGAAGGCGGAGGCAGTATCGATTTGTGGAGCCGTGAGAACTCTGGCTCTCGGCTGTGCAATACTCGGTTTTCCAGTTTGCCTACCTTCCTGTACCAGCCCTCGACAAGCAAGTGACTAAACCTTTAGCAATGCTGTCATTTGCTGGGATGATTTTGAAAGGAATCAGAGTGCTTTCAGCCAAAACAATAAAATGTTATTGCTCTTATCCATGCAGCTAAACAGATGTGGTGCTGAACAGCACAAAGAGAGTAAAAGTTCATAGAGCATGTTGTTTGCTTAGGCTGGCACTCTGTCAACTCCCATCATGAATACTAATGACCTTTGTGCTGTAAGTTGTTCTCCCTCCAACTATTATACTGCCTAAAATCATATCTGGTGTTAAAGAACCATTTATGTCCTTTAACATACTACCCAACACAAACTTGAGAAGCTGCTTTCAGGTAAAAAAACCCCAAAGGGCATAGCTAAAGAGAAGAGAAAGATGGCCTTCAATTTCAACCTGTGCTCTACAGGACATGCTTTTATGAAACAACCGTAGTGATTTTGTCTGCACTAGCTTCCCACACGAGCTCTCGTGTGCACTTGGATTCACTCACAACAGTTTACTGTAGCCAGGGGCTGACTGACTCCAGCCTCCTCAAAATCCTTGATCTTACCTCTTATTTCTCCTGTTCACACTCCATCCTCATGTTTCTCCTTCTTCCCCACTGAGCATCTCTCTCCCTTCAGAATTTAAAGGTTTGGGCAAACAGCCTTGTTCACTCTTTAGTCCCAGCACAGGGAGTATCATGCATTAAGAACCAAGCACAGCCTCTTTCCTCAACCCCTTTTCCTGCTGCCTGGCTATCCACTCACAGCACCACTCCTTTTTCCTGTCCACAGCTCAGGGTTCTCTCCTCTTGCCCACCACTTCAATTTTCTCTCTGTGCGACTCACCTTGGTTCTGCCACCAAGATGTCACATCACACCCATCCAGGCAAAGGCACTCCATGAAAGTGAGCACATCTTAGGTTAATCCCACAAATAAAAATAAATACAAATTGTATATCCCATACCTTTTGGTTCTGAGAATCCTTAAAGCTCTGGAGGACTGAAGGTGAAGCTGAGCGGTCATCAAGGCCAGAACATGTATCTGAGTCCACAAAATCTTACCTGGGACATCTTACACTTGAAAAGCCTTTATCTGGTTCTCACTACTCCTGCTGGATATCAGGTTCATCTATTTAATTTCCACTCACAGTAGACCTTCCTACTGGATTGTCTGAAACCAAAACTATTTCTCCAAGACAGAGTTAATGATTAGACAGATCTCACCATGCAAAGGCCAAAATCCTTATTTTATTTTATATTTTTGTGAAGAAGCTCCTTAAAGTCTTTCTTTCATCTAGAGGATCTAACTTCCACACTTGGTGCATTTCTTGCATGTGAAATACTGACCTTTCTGACATGTTGCTGAGAAACTTTCAGAGAAAATGGGAAGTCAAGAAGAGCTGAACTTTCTAGGCTAGGATTTTATCTAAAACAGAACTGCAGAAGAGCTGTTGTCTTCCCTAGGCATGATATTTCTGGTTTCAGCAAAAGGAAAAGAAACTTGTGACCTTAAATGTGCACTTTAACAGGGGCACATTAGGCTCAGTTTAACAAAACCAGCAAAGTCCAAGGCACCAATGTAGTTCTGATTGCACCTGGGATTTAGTTTCAGAGACACATCTAAACAAATTAAACATAGCCCCTTGTACTTTTAGCAGGTGTTTATAAAAAAGGAAGATGGGAGTAATTGAGTAAGGAACTAAAGAAACAAATCTCCTAACATTCAGACTTTGAATATAGTTTGACATGAGCCAGGGCAAGACGCCCAACAGCAGGAAGGAAGGAAAAGCAGTAGCAATGTTAGAAGTGGAATCTCACTGCATGTAGATTACAGTGCTGGTTCTTTTCAACATTTCCCCCACAAGCTGCCAAGGTGACTCTAGCATTAAACAAAGATCACATACTTCCCTACTGCAGAGTGAGCTGTGCAGACAGCAATAAAAGGTGTTCAAACTGCCAGCTTAATTTTTAAAATATATATATTGAAGGTGAAAGCTAAACACTTCCAAATAGTGAGCACAACTTAAAGGCCATCTAAATGGTCTTAGGGCCATCTAGACAATTCTTTTATTAAGCTAAGTACTGGTATTCTGAAGTCCCATAAACACCTTTGGAAGCCTTAAATTGGCTTAAATTGAGTGATAAGCTCATCAAGGGATTAAAATAATAAAACCTAATTTACTACCAGGGTTAAAGGAATGTTGCTGTCATTTCTTCTTTTACTTTTTTTGATCCTAAGGATGCATCCAACCACATAAATCCATTTTCCTTCTATGTCCATTCCAATTTAGTGTGGCCTTGTGGGCACAGCCCAGAAAGATACATAAAAAAAAATTTCACTGAGTCTCAAACGCTGCTTACTGCAGAACAAGGACAGCAGGAGAAACAATCCTAACCTACTAGGAACATGTTAAAAATTTACAATGCATGGCAGAGACAGAACAATAACCTATACATACAGAGCACACTATAACATAGTGCAAACATTAAACCCTACAGTTAGTTCAAATTCTAAAGAGAATTTAAGACAGTATTATAGTTTCTTTTTGTTTAAAGAATTGCAACTCATTAATTCCTTCTTTTTATTTAGACATCATCCCAAAGAACCTAAATTATGCTCTTCCACTTCTTTAATGAAGATTTCTTGCATCCTAACATTTTTGAGCGATATATCTGGTATTTTTAAGAAAACACAGTAGAGACCCCAAAAGTTACAGTCCAGGAAGTAAAAGTCATGCAGTTGCACATAAGTAGAAATAATTAATCTCAGCTTTGTATGCAACACACTATTCATGTTTTTGAGAACTATGAAATAATTATTTATGTTGAGAATCCTTTAACACCCCTAAAGGGTTGAATATATATGGCATGTGGCCATTTTTATCCAGATATGCCTATGTGGAAACGAAAATAGATAACAAGGGACAAGGAAGGAGAGGAGAAGGGTTACGAATGAGATATGGATAGAATTTTGTTACAGGTTCTGATCCCTTTTTTTTGTTTCTAAGGCAGTGCTGTTTCTGCTGCAAATAGGCATAAAGAAGATGAATCCATAAAGAATCTGAAGTTCCTCTGAGGCTGAACAGTTATTACTAGGTAAACCACAAATGACAATTTCTTCATTTAAAAAGTGTATTCTTTCGCAAAGGAGCAGTCAATGGCATTTCCATGTGGTACCATCAAACTGGCTGCAGTGGGAAGCAGCTTTCACACCGAGGTGATGTGTGCATTTTCTCCTTGGCTCATCAGTTTGTGTTCTGACGGATCCAGTCATACAGGGCTGTCACCTTGGTGTACACACCAGGACGGTTGCGCCGAGCACAGCCCTCACCCCAGCTCACAATGCCAGCGAGGTACCATCTACTGCCCCTCCCTGTGCAGGCCAGGGGACCTCCAGAGTCTCCCTGAAAGGAAGGAAGTCCAGCCATTAGTGCACACACACACAGCACTGGCACAAAAATTAGGTTATTTAAGAACAGTAAATATCTGCCCCTCTTTTCCTCAAATTAAAACCTAATATTAATTAAAACTTACTTCTGGATATAATGTACAGAGCCAGTTGTCATATTTACTCAATTATTTTAACTTATGGGAGTAACATGCTTATCAATATAAAGCCGATGACAAGAAGCATTTTATAAAATTACTCCTTGATAATGTCCCATTACAGGATTCATAGCATAACTCACCACAGCCCAAACAGGGAGAGAAGAAGACAGGGATCGAAAATGGGAATTCTACTACAATTTGAACCTAAATGGTTCACAGGTTGAAGGCAGATCTCTTATACTGTGTGTTAAATAGGAAAGATATCACACACCACAAATCAAAAAAAGGCCAACAAACCAAAGCAAACAAACCAGGCATAATTAAGTATTATCAGCACATTTAGAATCAAGATTGAGTCTACAGCTGACTACTTTGTAGAGGCAGAAGAAGGAACAAAGACTAAGGAATGTGCAAATAAGAACTGACTTAAATGGAACATGCAGGTTTGCACAGAAATGTAGCAAAATAAAAGTTCCCATTCAATTCAGTTCACAGGATCAAAATGCATTTGAGCTCATCAATGCTTTTTTACCTTTCATTGCTTTAACCTTGTGTGTCTTCTGTGAACTGGACTGTTCACAGAACTCTGGGCAGCTACAGTACAGCTCCTCTCTGCAGCTCTTCCTAATGCACCCAAGGCACTCAACAGCCTCCAAACTGACCCTGGGGTTTGTTTGAGCCCCCAGTTGGAGCCAAAACATGTAAGAGGTCAGGAGAAAGCCACATACTGAGAAAAGAGTAATAACAGAAAGCCTTCATCACCCAACCAAACAAAATTATCTATTATGGTGGTACAAAATTATCTAGAGATAAGAGAAGGAGCCAGAGCTTTTCCCCTCTCTCAGGCTGCTGTCATACTGGAAATGTTGATAATTCAAGAGTGTGATGTCAAAGTGACTTGAGAAAAGAGACTGAGTAGTCCAGCCAATTACTCAGCCAGTTCTGAAAAATCAAAGGGGATATATGCAGGGGAGGATGGATGCTAAGCAGAGGAACCAAGATCAAAGAACATCCTAGAGTGATAAGAAAACAGTCTGAAAGGGTAACTTTTTTATTTCTTGGCATCAAATCCTCTAAAGATGAAAGATATTTGGATGCTTCACATAACTTGTGCAACACATGCACAGCTTACATGTCCAGGAAGAGGAGAAACCAAACAGGACACTCACAAGTCTGAAAGCATGGTAAAGGGGGTTTAGGGTGCTGGGGGTGTTTCCTTTACTCCCAGTGTCATTCCTCTCTAGCACTGTACAGGAAACACATACTATATATCACATGATATATATACTAGTGACAGAAAGACAAAGGAAAAAAAAACAAACAAAAAACAAAAAACCACACCACAAAAAAAAAGAGCAAAGATGCTACCCAGACTAAGAACTTAAAGACCCAGAGGGCCAACATGCTAGAACAGTTTGCAGACAAACTCTACATAATGTTAATAAAAATAATAATTAATCTAATTAGACCTTAGACACTGCAAGAAAATTCTATAAATAGTTTATTGTATTAACGAAGTTTGACCCATCATGAACTACAATCTTGCAAAAGTTATCCTATTGCATTAAAATAATAAAATTTATATATTACACAAAAATTGTACCAAAT